CCATACAAACGACTCATTCACGACATAAACATCACAAACGACCGAAAAAGAACGACCTAACTTTACCGACAGATCGAAACAGACCAATCACGACCGACTTACGTCACTTGAGTCTTACAGCCAATAACATCACGGCAAAACCAACCGATCATTTCACACGAACTGGAATAAGAACATTCTACTGACAACAATCATTCACTTGACTCTGATGATGACTTCCGCACAGGTTGTCGAAACGTCAGTCACTACCACCGACAACAGTCCTTCTCAGGACTACACTCACCCCGACGATCAGACTACACCTTCAGATATTATAGCCATGCGAAATAGTTCTAGGGAAGGTTCAAAGGTGTTTTCTGGAAACAACTTATGGATTAAAGATGGACTCGGACATCAGGGACTGTATGAAACGGGGCGTTTTTTTAAATAGTAGAGAACAATAACAAAGGTTATGCAGCTCTGATGCTAAAGTAATAACTTCAAGGGTTAATTTTGGGTCAAAATTATAAACTCTCAAGAGCAATCAACACAGAGTAACATTCTTAGATTATGGTAATTAGTAATGATCTCTGAAGTTGTAAGGTCTTTCTCGCAGTACGTATTGTGTTTACAACTGTGACAATCGTTTACTCCTTCCTAAGCAGAGAGTATCCTTTACAAATGAGCTGGAACTTGTTCTGTATAATTTTTTTATTGCTCATTTTGTACTTTTACTTTTCTCAGTTTTTCTGTGTGGCAGAGTAATGTATAATAGCAGCGGTCGGATTTTAGAGGATTTAGTCTATTTCTTTCTTAGAACTTCCGTTTCCTTTAGCGGATGTCGAAGTATTGGTACTATTATAGTAAGCTTATAATTTTGCATCAAACATTTTAATACTCTGAATTAGTGTAAATTTGATAGTTAGCGCCCTTGTGCGTTGTTTCCGATAGCAATTAAAAGTTTTTAAAAAAGCTATAGAGAATTATATCATTATTTTGCTTAAAAGTTAACAGTACGCGGTGAAAAATATAAGCCATTTAAAGAAAATGAATGAAAGTTTATTTGTTATACACTTTGGTTGACATTTCTTTCTGTCGTAGAGCCACTTGAAATAGAATATGAATATTTCTAGGACAGTTCAGGCTAGATCGGCAAATAATTTGATTTGAAGACTGACCCTTTTTTTCTTATTTCCCTTGCTGTTTTTTCGGCAGTGTCAATTCCAACCTTATTATACAGCGCCTCATTGCTGACAACTTTTGCTGGGCTAGTGTTTCTGCTGTAGGCATCACCTTCATCCTTAAGTTCACTCATGGCGCATTCGTTATCAAAATTTATGGACTTTTTTCAACTAGATTTATTACCAAGGTCGCTATAATATACCTATTTCCCGCGGTTATCATCCACGACCAATGACATCCCCTATACTGGGAAGCTTGTAATCGATCGCGCAAACGTCAAACTAGAGATGAAGGGAAGAGGGCGTGGCCTGAGAACGGTTGTTGGTAATACAGAACCATCCTCTGACAGAGTATGACAACCTTTGTCTACTCAGAAATACAAACCATTAATCCTTCAAAAATGCCAGGGCTGGAAGGCTACTCGCGATTCTCAACTAAAGCGAACGTATGGTCCAGGAATTGGAGGAAAACAGTTTCAAATATAAGTGTCACAATTAGCAACCCCTTTAGGTAGGTTTGATTCCTCTGCCAGTCTGTCGCCTCCGCATTTGAAGTACAGTACAGTTTTTTGGCCCTTAACTCCAATGCAAAGACTTCTAAGTTAGCCGTCGATTGCGTTTCTTGGCCAAAGGCTAGCATACAGCTTAAGGACAGTGTAGACCTTCGCGGGTGTCTTTCGCAAAAAAAAAAGATTACGCGCATAACCACCATAAACTATAAATCAATGGAAAGTTTATGAAAAACACTATTCGGAAAAATTTGGTTAAATTTAGCTTAATCTGTTGATCTAATCGTAAGCCGAATTGGGGTACGACAATTTGAAATGGACGATGTTTCTTTTAGCGAGTTAATCGCATCGTGCGCGTCTTTTTTTTTTTTTTTAATTCTATCCTTGTAAGTCGTTTCTACTTTCACTAGTATTTTGCTCTAAAAAAGAAATTTTCTACAGTTATTCTTTGCAAAGACATCTCTTTAAGCTAATGTTGGTTGAGACAAAATGTGATACAAGAAACTTTCTCAAATATAAAGGTGACAGGAAAACTTTAGAAACCTTTACCCAGAACGTGTGGGAGATATTCCTACCTATCTTTTGTGATTAGAACATGTGCTGTTAAAATTCTCTAGCTTGTTATGGAAAGCTTATGACAATATTCTGAGTGGCGAGAACCCTGGTCCTACTCACCAAAGGGTTAGAATTGACACCCCCGCAGCTCAGCTAAGGTAATCCCAAGCTTTGCGTAACGACACCAAACAAACACCCACTTTTTTGGGGGTATGACATCATAGCCATCCTCGATGCATTGTGGGATAAGTGATAAGAGGCAGCCCCACTACTTGAGTTTTCGTTATTTTGATCTCTACCGTCCCTTCATTCGCTTTTAAGATTCCAAGGAAACAGTTATATCTTGGAGCATTGGCAAAAGAGGTTTGTCTGCTCTTATTTAAACTATCGTGTATGCCTACAACTTTGACAGAAGATAAGGGTGAGTTGTTTCCGGCCGGTAAAGCGACAAGCGTAGGTACTTTACTCTGTTGGTTGCCGCTGGAGTTGTAAATACAGTAATCATTATATTGAGTATTAGCGAGAAATGTGTGTATGTGATCTAACCGCCGTTTTCTCACGAATACCAGGTATCGTGTTAGAACTCATTTTGAGTCGTGATCTGTTGGAGCTCACGGCAAATTATTATTAATGCAGGAAAGAGGAACTCACTTTATTTGCCTAACGGAACTGAACATAACTAAACTCGCATTGAACATCGTTTGCAAACTTCATCTTTTACTAGTTTACTTCCATCACTCTAATACAGCAAGTATTTTTATCTTAGCTTTGATTTATCAGATCAATGGTCGATGAGGAATCCACAGAAAAGCAGAAAAGATTACCTTGAAAAGTTACTATATTTGTCTTGAAATCTAAAGCAGGAAAATTTAATTTATAAATCACAACAAAAAACTGCCGAAAATCTAAGAAATATTCTAGAATTTAACCTGCCAGAGGAACGAATAGATAGAGAGGTAAAGGAATAAGGCACCCGAATCCGTTTTCCTGGAAGAGCATATTTCTCGGAAATTCACTACACGTAATTTGCACTTTCGTTTCTCGCAATGTTTGCGTGTCCCTAGGCAGTTCGTTAGGTAGCACACTCCATCACAATGTGAATAAAAAAAATGAATTTAACTTCAGCAGAATTGACTCTGATGGTTTGGCATAATCTTCATTTTTCTGACAATTCGTTTTAATTGAATAAATTGGGATTTGACTTCGAGAAACGTGTCTCACTCAGACAACTGAGACGATTAAAATGTTACAAAGCGATTCATGTCTAATTTCCGAAATCCCTATTTTGTCGGTATATATAGATTTTAGCACTTGATTTACACTCCAGATATGTTGTTCCGCTTAGCTGAGATTATTTTAAAATCGTTCTCATAAAATGGAATTGTTTATTCAATTACTGCAGTTAGAAAGTTAGTCATTAGTCATTTTCCAATTTTTCTTTAATTTATTATACTTTTCTCGTCATATTGGCATGTACATCTGCTACACAGTCCTAATTAGCCTCATTAAAATCTGAGTAGAACTAAAATTACAGGTACTTAAGTTAATAGACATCAACTGAAATGTGATACAATGATCATAAAGCAATAACAGTTAGGTAAATTCATAGTTTTTTTTCTCCATGTACTATACCTTTGGATAAATATGTTATTTATTATTTAACATAGAAGAAAGGCTGATAGTTTTTAAAGAAACTGTTTGGGGCTGCGTCGGTGGGAATAACGAAATAAGTTGGATATATCAACAAAGTTGAAATGGTAAATTGGCCACCGTAACGATTACAAAAGCTGACGTTTCGAGCGTTAGCCCTTCGTCGGAGCGAATAGAGGAATTGTGGGTTGTGTGTGCTTTTAAAGGCAGAAAATGGAGCTACGTTATTGGTGGGTACATGGCAACGAGAAAAACARGAATAAATTAGTGGAATGAAAAGCGTTCCTTGATCCCTGTGGGATTTAGACTGCCGGTTTGAAAGATGAGCTTTTGTTCAAGAGTTTTACGGTTTTCCGTGCTTCCTAAGTGTAAGGAAAGACCGCAGATTGCCATATGTTGATTAGAATGATTAGGTAAATTAAAATGTCTAACATAGAAGAGACAACAGGTGTAACTATAAAAAAAAAATCGTTTATTATTATTGTTGTTGGTACAGTTATTGTGAATTAAAAATCATTTGATAAAACTGCATGCTGTGATTTGTTGATTTTACTAGCTAGCAGTGTGAAACAATTAAATGAACTTACATGCAAACAAGTCTGTGTGGGGAAAGGGCTTATTAGGCACATGTTAGGGCTCAAGCTACAAATTAATTATTTCTAGAATTTAAGATCAGAGTCAACCCAACTATTATGAAAAAAACCCCCTTATGAACAGCTTAATCCCAGCATCATTATTATATTATCATCACCAAACCATGTTTAGTTGCCTGGATTAATGGGGAAACTAGGGAATTGAAATGACTATCCTTACTGCTGGAGCAAAACTGTCCTACAGATTTTTAAACATTTTCCTCTTCACATGCAGCTGATATAAAAAAATTAACGAGTTTCTTGAACACACACTGGACATACAACAGACCTCAAAGGTCAACAAAGTTTAGGCTGGCTGTTACAACACACAAACTCATTTTGCATGAGTTGATCTAGCGCTAGCTATGCTGGCACTTTCTGGGTCATCATAGTAATTGTCTAATTTATTCAAATTTATTACTGTAACAGTGTGAATTACAGTGGAGATAATTTCCTTGGATGGGATTTGGGGATAAACTGTCTTATCTTGTTCTAATAACTCAGTGGAGTTATAATCTGATAGTTTCATATGATTTGAACTGTAACATAGTTAAAATTGGACAGAGCTTGTAATTCATTGGTTTCATCAGCCAGTCATACTGAGTGTACTAAGCTTTGTCCACCAATCACAGAATTTATTACCGTAACCAGATCATGTGAACTTTGGGCAACTAAAGGGCAATTGAGATACAATGAATATATGAAGTTCATATATTTTAAAGGGAAACTTTAAAGGGCAATTGTTGGTTGAGTATCAGTGGATACTATCAGTCAATCTGTCAACCTATAAACTCAGTCAGCTGATATCTGTCACCTCTCCATCAGTGATACTTGCACGGTCAATAAGCAGGGGATACTTCAATTTACTGACACTTGGCTGATGCTTTGCCAATACATTTTCAGGCTTCTTAGTTAGCCTTCGATTGCATTTCTCGGCCATAGGGTAGCATGCAGCTTAAGGACACTGTAGACCTTCTTGGGTGTCTTTTGCAAAATAAAAAAAAGGATTATGCATATAACCATCATAAAGGTTATGAAATGCACTATTGCAAAGAATTTATAATTTTCAATTTAGCTTAATATGCTGATCTAATCATAAGCCGAATGGGGCGCGACAATTCGAAATGGACTATGTATCTTTGAGCGAATTAATCAAATCGTGTGCGTGTTTTTTAAAATTCTTATCCTTGTAGGTCTTTTCTACTTTCACTAATATTTTTCTCTTAAAAAATAAATTTTCTACAGTTATATTTTGCAATAACATCTCTTTTAGCCAATATTAAGGCAAAATTAGTAGGATGCTAGAAACTCTCAAATATAAAGGTGACAGGATACTTTTAAAACCTTTTTACAAAACGTTTGGGAGATATTCCTACCTGTCTTTTGTGATTGGAATATGGGCCATTAATAAATCAATGTAGTTTGACTAATGAAAATCACATATGTATACTGCGATTTCATAAAAGGTATGTAAGCGTTCCTCGCAGTAATAAACCCTACTTATCTAGAAGGTGGAAATAAGGCCTGAGAAAAATCCAGGTCCGTACGGGATTTGGGTTCAAATTCCGTGTGGGCCTGAATTTTTCTTCAGGCCTTTTTTCCACCTACTAAACTGAAATGGGGCTTATTGCTGCAATGAACACTTTCATACATGGGCTGTTAATATTCTCTAGCTTGTTACGAAAAGCTTATGAGAATATGCTGAGAGGCGAAAACTCTGGTACTACTCGTCAAAGGGTTATTGACATGACGACACCAAACAAACACCAATCGTTTTTGTGTCTAGTGCGTTAGCACGCAAACACAATGGAAGAGCGTACGGAATTCGAAAAGCAATTTATATACGCCACATGTGAGCACGAAATATAATGTTTTACTCATAGTTTACCTTACGGGACCAATAACATGAATTGTACACTGATTTTCAACCAGTGGAATGTGTAACCATGTCGGTTGACCAATTGGATTCAAGTAGAAAACCGCAAGGAAGAGTCGGGAGCAAGTGAATTCGGGGACGAAAATATGACGATGACTCTGATCTTTTCACCACCATGTGCTTGTGGGGTGACGCTCTATCGAAGGCGTATGTCGAGGGTCGAACACACAAGTTTATAGTACAGCGATTAAATTTAACATACGTCGTGTAAGCTGTAGCACGTGTTCTCCACGATCTTACACCCGTAATGCGTAAGATCGCACTGAAGAAAGGATAAAGATATAAAAAAAACTGATGAAAATGTTTTCAGTATGTTTGGGCTATTTACAAGGCTATCAATGTGCCAATAAACCTAACTGTAACGTTTGAATTTTGGACGGTAACTTCGAATCTGTAAATTTTAAGAGAGATTTTCCTTGGAGTGTTGAGTCAATGTTTTACTTACGTAATACGAAAAACTTGTCAACACTTAAGCGTCAAATAATTCGTGAAATAACGGGAATTTCAGGAATTGTATACAGCTTAGCTTAGTCTTAAGCCAGTCCCACACTGGGAAGAATATTCTCCACTATCAATTTACGTCACTAATCCGCAACGATGTTGTGAAATTAACAAGGGCAGACAAAGTACCGGTGGCTAGAGAGAGTCTGAGAAATCCACTTTGATGCAACTTATGGGGAGTACTGGCCACAACTGTCGCATTCCAGCCAATCTTCTCCATCGTCGTCCTGGCACACTATGCAGACGTTGATGTTTCTCCTACAGCGGGCGGAACATGTATTTCATTATCAATCACTTAAATATGCCTTCTTTTTTATTGGGTCAGGTCTCATACTTTGACTCTTAACTCTCTATCAGGATCAAACCCGATGCTTATCAAGATTAAAGGATATGCAGTTTGGAAACAAGCTGTGACTTAGGTTACTTACTCGTGGATGTCATTGTAACAACAGCCAAACACCATAGACGTTATTAGTGCACGTTCGGTTGCTATGTCGAAAGCTACATCTACGGAGGACTCTTCGCACAAACATCCAACAAACTGAAAGAAACGATCGAAAATAACAATCAATCATTGGAAAAAATGAGTGAAGAATATTTAATATTCCGTAAAATTCCTTTTAAGGGAGAAATAATTGGTTGTTAAGGTATATTTGATCGAATGCACTTCTTCCAGGGGCTCGCCTGTATAACGGTAATGCTAGTCACCTTGTGAGGGTAAATATTTCGTACCTTAACACCTCATGAATTAATGAGAATAGTGGTCCGATAAACCAAACAGGCAATCCAACTAGCTTACGCAAATCGTATAATTTATTCCAGTATATTATTATTTGATCTAGAGAAAAGAAATTAAATACATTTGAGAAACTGAACAGGATCTATCGATACATAAACACATGAGTCAAACTATTAGCTAGAATTGCAGCACTGATAACTTACTTCTGTGGCGATGTCTAGTGGGATTACTTCACGGTATACAGGTCAGCAACAGATAAAACAGATCAGGGTATAACAGAATACGGGTCAGCGCGACAGGTCAGCAAAACATGAAGGTCACTTCGACTCTAAACATCTGAACTGAAAGCAGACTTATTCACGTGGCTTAATTGCGAAGCTTAGTGTCAATCAAAGTCAATCAGGAAATCAAGTTAATAATTCATTGTATTAACGAAACAAATAGTGACTTCTGTATTGAACTTAAAACTAAATGTCGCGTGTGGGTGCACAGCGAGTTGGCTACTTACGAGACAAATGAGAATTCCGCAGTTGTACCCATCCTTCTGTTTAAAGTGCACCGGCTCGATGCAAGGCCATGATAGAGAAAGCCACCCCGTTTTAGCGTCAGCGACCTCACTACAAATATCATGACAGGGAAATAAAGGGTTCCTTTATTCTCAAAGTGACTGCCGTTTTAAATTGAAGGAACAGCTTTTTTCACTTACGACTTAATAATTTTACACTAGTTATCAGTACTGAAAGTAGACATTACATGCCTATCATGTCCGCTCTTCTGTTAGTAGCACAGGGCAAGTCAATAAGTCATGTCGATCTACAGTAGTTAGTCGCTACTTGATAAATAGGGTTTATTACTGAGAGGGACGCTTTCATATATGATTTTCATTTATTCAAATTCATGAACGGGTTTAATACGAATCAACATAATGACCCGCTCCCAGTTGGCTTGTTAGCTCAGTTTCTTAAGCACTGTACCGGTATCGCAGAGGTCATAGGTTCAAATCCCGTACGGGCCTAAAATTTTTTCAGGCCTTATTTCCACCTACTAGATAAGTAGAGGTTATTACTGCGAGGAACGCTTTCATACATTTTACGAAAGCGCGGCACACATATTATTTTCATATATTATTTTCATATCTTTACTGAGTCGTCGCCATCATTATGTACGAGAGTTTTACCAACCCTACCCCTCACAGTCTTGTGACGTTGAGCAGTACTGCCAAATTTGGGCTAGGGCTACCAAATAAGGTGGTGAGCACGTGCGTGTGGAAAAAATAACAAGAAGGTTGTGAGAGCGCGAGTTTATGGAAAGTTTTTCCATCGAATTTAGTGAGAGTTTAGTGAATTAGATTGAAGCGGAATAAACCAGGAAATTGAGTTATTGTGAGTTCTATGGGCTGTTTTATTGTTCGGCTCAATTACGCATTCTAGTGTCTTAGTCAAAAATTGTCTTCAGCTTTTAAATGTCATCCTTTCGCGGGATTTCGCTATATATGCGGGTTTCATAATTTGCCCGCTGACCAAAATTACTGTTTATTCTTACCCTCCACGAACGTCCTCGATATAGCTTCAAGAATGTTAGTCATTAGTCATTTTCCAATGTTTCTTTATTTTATTATACTTATCTCGTCACATTGGCATGCACATGTGCTGTACGGGCACATGTATAGTTAAATTTTAGAATGTTACAATTTTACATTTTACATTTTAGTAGTATTTAGAGTTATACTTGTAACTCGAAGATACTGGCTTATCCTTTAGCTACTCCAAATTCGAGATTAAATAAAGTATATGTATGTATGTATGTATGTATGTATGTATGTATGTATGTAAACAACATACATACATACATACATTTTTACATGCAAACAAGTCTTTGTGAGGAGGGGCTCATTGGGCACACACTAGGGCTCAAGCTGCATATTAATTTATTATTTCTAGAATTTAAGATCAGAATCAGCCTAACTATTATGAAAAAAACCTTTTATCAACAGCTTAATCCAGCATCATTATTATATTATCATCACCAAACCATGTTTAGTTGCCTGGATTAATGGGGAAACTAGGGAATTGAAATGACTATCCTTACTGCTGGAACAAAACCTACGGATTTTTAAACATTTTCCTTTTCACATGCAGCTGATACAAAAAATTAATGAATTTCTTGAACACACACTGGACATACACCAGACCCCAAAGGTCAACAAGTATAAGCTGGCCGTTACAACACACAAACTCATTTTGCATGAGTTGATCTAGCTATGCTGGCACTTTCTTGGACATCATATTAATTTTCTGACTAATTTATTCAAATTTATTGCTGTAACAGTAAGAATTACAATGTATATAATTTCCTTGGAAGTGATTTTGGGATATAAATTGTGTTATCGTTCTCTAATAACTCAGTGGAGTTATTATCAGATAGTTTCATATGATTTAAAGTGTAATGTAGTTATAATTGGACACAGCTTGTAATCCAATGGTTTCATCAGCCAATCACACACTGAGTGTATTAAGCTTTGTCCACCAATCACAAAATTTATTACAAAACCAGATCATATGAACTTTGGGCAACCGAAGGGCAACTGTTTGTTGAGTATCAGTGGATACTATCGGTTGATCTGTTGACCGAATGTCAGTCCATATCTTGGTATAAACTCAGTCAGCTGATATCTGTCACCTCTTCACCAGTGATACTTGCATGGTGAATGGTGGGATACTTTAATTTACTGACACTCAGCTTAGCCAATACATTTTCGACACTTGGCCGACACTACCGTCACTTGACACAGCCTTCATTTTGTTTTTTTCAGCTGTGAAATCAAATGTCTGCATGGTGATCACTAAGTAAACAACTGAAGGGCATTTTGAAACAGACTGCAGACTGAAATTAACAACACCATAAAAAGCAAGCCTTGTGCTAAGCTCGATAAATGGTTGGCTCTTGTTACTGAGTCCTGTCTTCTCTGCTTAAATATTAATTTTTTTCTCCAGCAAATTGAAAGTGGCTTTCGGTGGCCATATTCATCTGTTCTTTACCTAACTTACATGCTGGTAACATTCATCTCTGACAAAGACTTTTTTCCAGCTTATGTTTTTTTGTTGTCATTGCTTCTATATATTCAAAATGAACTGCATGAACTGTGTCCTCACTCTATCAAGTTTGGGCATTGCAGACAGAGACTTCTTTGGCCTCCTTTGTGGGGAAGGGGAAGGGGCTACTATAGAGACGGCTGCTATAACATTTCAAGAAAAATAGGGGTTAACAATACACCTGTATCACAGACAGTCCACCAAAACAACACTGACACTTGAGCGATATGCTGCAAACTATTGATTTTCAACATGATGGTTGAGGTGTTGACCAAGTATTCACCGAAATTCTGACCACATTTAGAGTAACAGTGGTCTACCAAATTGATTAACATGGCAACCAACAGTTGATGGACTCTCAGTTGACACATCAATAATAGTATCCACCAATACTCAATCACCATATACCCTATTACACTTGATTTCAGTAACCATAGCATGGTTACCATCCCTATTTAAGGATTTCCAAGACATAGGAATCTATTTCTGGGGATTTTTAGGGCGCTTTTGCAAAATATTGTAAGTGTTTATAAAGATTGGATTATTACTGCTCCTCTTCTATTCATAAAGGAAGTTTATTTTCCTTGGAAACTATAGTGTTTATAATTAATTAGTAACAGGACTATGCGTTTGCATGACTTATGATTGACAATCAGACTCCTGCTTTGGGGTTTTCCAATTTATTTAATCACTTGTATGATTGCACACTGAACTTTACTCATTCAACGTAATTAGACTTAAGTGTTATTATGATCATCAGACTTGTATAGCAAGAAAGAACAGCACCTCCCTCCCCCTCTTAGGGCCTTTATTCTATGTGAAACATACAAATTGTGTAGATTGTCTTGAAACTACAAATCAAATCATAAAATCCTTCAGAGAAAAATACAGCGAACTACCCTCAGTAATTACAAATTTAGAGTAATTTTATGAACTTGAAACCTGGCAAGGGGTCTGTTTCTCAAAATTCCCGGTAGTTCAGAAGGCCCGAAGCCATGTTTCAAAATCAAAATTTAAGGGATATAAAAGCGGGTTCTGGCACTCAAGTCAGTCCACTTTGCTTCTCTAGCTGATAGTTTTATTATGTTATTTTCAAAACTTTTAAAATCCCCATCTTGAATGAGAACAGAACAGCTTTACAGCCCTGTTAAGATGCCGGGACTTTTGAGAAATGGGCCCCAGGTTTGTGAAGAAAAGATTTAACCTGTGTACAAAAGATTTATTTTGTCTTTTTATCTGAAGTCTACATTTGGTTCTACTAGTTTATTGTAAGAAATTTAAGAGTTGTTTTGTCTATCTTTTTAGGACCTCTGAGATATTTTTGACCTTGCCTTTTTGCACTGCAGCTGCATATGAGATATTAAATCTCCTAACGTAATGGAAAAATTCCAGCTTGCACTCTCGCATTTAGATATGACTTCACTGTGTGCAAGAAACAAATCTCCTGAGGAAGAGGAGGTGAGAAAATGTTTACCTAAAGGCTATAATATTATAATTCCTCCACAGTCAGTTGTGAGTGGTAGGTCAATTTAGGATTTGTGATGCATCTTTCACAATCTGCTCACTAGCTCCTTTATCCACCTGTTAAGCTGTCTTTCCAGTTTCCCTAGAAGCTGTCTTTGATCTTAATAACCCAGTAACCTAATTAATAGCCAACTTGAATGTCAGTTGGTCCAAACCTGTCGAATCTCGTCAAACCTGCCAAACCTTAACAAATACCATTTAATAAACAAATTCAGCCTGGTCAACCCAGCTTACTAACCTAGTTACCACCTTCATCATCGCTGTTAAATTTATCAACCTTCCCCAAACCTCAGCATCATGATCATTGATAATCAGTATCATCTGTAACCTCACTGATTGATCGCCAACCATGTGTACCTCAAAACCTTACAACCTCCTAGTCTGCAACCCGATCAATATCAGCAACCCCAACATATTTGACCTCACCGAGATCATGAATCTTACTGTTACTTTACTTTTAATCTTGCCTATCATCATCAACATCATCAAACTATAATAAACTTCACCAACATCATCAAAAATATACCAAACTCTATTAACTTCACCTACCTCATCCAAAACTATGGCCTTGGGTACTTGCATCACCAGCATCATGCGCCAATGTCAATGACTCCCCAAAATTTGCATCCCCAACAAACTTTCCCATCCCCAGAACGACATCAACCTGCCCTCATAACCAACCTCACAACTGATCAATAGGACCAACCTTAATGTGTTACTGTAAGTGCTTGTAGTATAATTTCTTTGTTAATTTTTCCATTTTTGTTTGTTTTCAATAATTCTATTTTAGATTGATAAATAAACGTTTACTGTGTAGGTTCTTCATATTTGTTGATTTTTCACGTTGAATTTTGGGTGAAGATTTGACTTACTCTTTTCTTTTACAGGGCCTGGCTGAAGAAAAATGTCTTGCCCAAGATGACAACAACGACGTTTCAACTTCCGGTTCTAACAACGAAGAGGTGTGGAAAGTATCATATGTTTTGAATTAAATCAATCAATCAATAAAGAACGGTCTTCATTCACGGTTTTAACAGACTTGAGAACCTATTAATTATTAATTTGATAAGATAATTGATGAAAAGCCGTCAAAACACTAGAAAATATCAAATAGAATCTATATAGATTCAGAGACTCAAAACATTTCTTTTATAACGCGTTTCTTAAACCGTGTAAACTACAAGAAAAGAAAGGGCTTGACCGGGGTGATTACATCATAATTTTTGTTACAAAGAGCGCTACAACCACAAAACATGAGAGACGTCTTTAATTGAAGCGTTCCTCGATTTGTTGATGACAGTCAGAAACTATTTTTATGTAGTGAAACCTTTCAACAGAGTTAACGTAATACTTCGAATTTTCTTCGTCAGACCTATGATTCATTGGTATAAAAACACGTTCATATACCTTCCTTTTGGCACGACTAACGTCATTCACGTTATTTCTTAGGAAACTAAGGAGGACGACCTAAGATCTTTTAAAAACAGTCGTCTTGAGGGGAAAAGTCAACCGACAGAGCCATCTAAGGATGACAAGGATTCTGATCAACTTCAACGCGAAAGTGGATCTAAACAATTTAATGAGGTAAATATTGGTGAAACTTTATCCAAATGAAACTTATCCAAGTGTCCCTATATACTTGTTCCTACTTCAAATGGTATTCTGCTCAGGAAAGAAGCTCCTATCCAGTTGATACTTTCACCTCCAAAGATATGAGTCTACCTACTAAATTGTGCAAATGAATGGTTTAATAGTTAGAGGATTGTCCAGCCGATGTGACTGGTTGATTTTTATATACACTGTCGAATTAACGCCGTAGATTTGTCTGGCTTTTTCTTCTATGATAAAGCGTTTGAAAGCATCCGGAACCCTCGAAACCTCGTTATCTTTGCCACTCTGGTGACTTGTTCGTAAGCGTTAATGTTTAATTTTATTCATAATTTTATTTTCTCTCAGCATTGTCTTAATCACAATTTTGAATTTGAGAGTGTTTGATACAAAGAAGTGGGTGTTTTGATCTGTTCGGATATTTCTTTTTACAACTACGCAGTAATGTACAAATATGAAAAAAATAATACCCGGTAATATTTCTACCGTCACAGATTAAAGGGGCACCTAGTTTGCTTGAAGACATGCGGGTAATCAGAACCGCTGAAAACGAGGACGTCAAGATTAAGAGTCCATCCTGTACCGTAGTCGTCTCTTCAAAAGATGAAGTGGTCGCTGATACAAGTTCCGCCAAGAGACTATCCGAATTCGAAAGTGACAGTCTTGAAGGAAAGTACATTATGAAGCTTGAAAGAAGATTAGGTTGCCTTGAAAACCTGATACCCCAGTACCACTCACGTTTTGAAGAAGATGCAATCTTCAAACAAAAGTTGCAGGAGAAGATACAGCAGCTTAGAGAGGAAGGCGAAATCTTCAAACAAAAAATGGAGGAGAAGATTCAACAGCTTGAATCAAAACTAGATGAAAAGGATCATTACAAGGAGGACGTGCAAAAGACCACTAAACAAGCTGCAAAATCAGGGAAAATGGCCCAACCTCGGGAAAAGACGGAAACGGAAATGAATCTGCAGTGCCACTCACAGTTGAAAGGTTTGGCTAAAATGAAGGCGGCAGACCAAGACCTTTAGCGATTGAAAGAAGTGGATAGCGGTGGCGAGAGAATGGAGAGAAAGGTGGCCGGGCCTGGTTCACAATTGAGAGAGTCGGATTACAGCAAAGAGAACATGAAGGCGACTGCTATTGCCGAGATTCATTCGCTGCTGGTGAAAGAAACGCATCATCAAAAAGCGAATATAGAGAAACAAATATCGGACGCAAAGAAGAAAAGTGATGAACATTTTAAGACAATGGAGAGGAAGGTAGAGGAGCACGCATTACAGTTGGATGAGCGTGAAGAGAAGAGAGAGAAGACAGTGGCCCAGTTCCATTATCAGGTCGAAGAAAAGGATCATCATGAAATGGACAAGTTAGAGCAAGAAATACAGGGTACAAAGGAACTGTTTAAAGAAATTGCTAAACGTGTGGAGGGAATCGAGAAGAAGGTGGCCGAGCACGCTTTACAATCGGATAAGATGAGTTCTAGTATTAAGACGATAGAGGAAACGAATACCCGGTTCCATTCACAGCTGGCAAAAGAAACGAATCGTCAACGAGAAAAGATGGAGAAGGAGTTAAAGGATTTAAAAGAACTCATGAAAGGAATTTCTCAACGCACTGAGGAAGTGGAAAAGAACGAAACCGATCACGGTTCTCGTCTGGAAGAAATTGATTCTCGCGTAGAGAGAATCATGAATGCGGAAATTGCTCGATTTCATTTGCAGTTGGAAGAATCGCGAAGATTCCTGGAGGAAAAATTGAAGAAGGAGATGCGAGATTTAGGTGATGAAGTCAAGAACCAAAGCGCATACCTCTTCACTCATCAAGAAAATATGGCCCTTCTTCGCCGTGCTCTGGGCGACCTGAATGTAAGGTTTCAATGTAAAGTCAACAAGTTAGATAGGCGAGTTGATATCTTATTCCCACGTCAGATAATTGATGGTCCAATTGTACCCACTAGGCTTGGATAAGTCCTTGTAAAATGGCTAATTACAAAATTAAACGAGACTTACCTGTAAGTTGAAGTTTGATTGGGATTCTATCCTGTCATCAGTCCGGAACGAAGGAGTCACATGAGATGCGCGCGCATGCTGCTGGTCAGTCTTCAACGTGAATGGCACAGGATAAGGAACGAAGGAGAAGGGTGGGTGGGTT